TTTCTTGAATACTCCCTCCAGAATCTCCCTGCCCCTTCTCCGACCCCCTGGCTCCCTTGTCGTTGGCCTTCGGCTCGCCTAAGGTCTCTCTGGGAGCTTGCTGAGTCTGAGCCGTTCTCCCGGCACGCTGGGCAGAAGCGGGGGAGGAGCTCCAGACTGCCGGAGGCGAATGCAGGGAGGGAGTGAGTGAGCTATGCTGCAGGGGGAGGAGGGGGAAGTGGAGGAGGGACTCTCTCTTGCTGTCGGAGCCACATGTAAGTGGCACCATCCGGCTGCCCTGTTAGCCGCACGTGCTCTGCATGGGGTGGGGGGGGGGACATGTCCGGGGGAATCCGGACGAATGGTAACCCTAGGTAATTGAGATCTACTGGGGTGCAATTAGGGTTGATCTCTGGTGGCTGGATTCAGGGATTGTGACTTTGGAACTCCCTCTGTGGTTTATTGACATTTTAGTGTGGTGTACATAAGAGCCTGATGTGAGCCACACTTACTTAGTCAGGCCCTTTTCTGCAGCCATGGTGCATGGGGCGTATGTGATGTAAGACAGTGGGCACCAAGTAAAATGATATATAATATGTTAATATTTTAAATGTTCATGTAAGTAATTAAACTACATGGTAGAGTTGCACTAGTCAGGAGGCTCCTTCTGCTTGGTAGCTCTGAAGCTTTTGATTTTCAGAGGCTGGTTTCTATCCCTGCCTGGAGTATGCAGCTAGGGGGAATCCCTACAGCCCTAGGGATTGAACAGCATTGTATAGAGAGATTGGGAAACCAAAATGGCATTTTTGAACTTAAGGTACTCCATCAGCTTTAAAGGCCAAATTCTGCTGTTTCTGACAACAGTATGAATAAATAGTTACTACACTGATGTTTTTAGTAGTGTTCTGTACGGAGATGATGGGAAAACAAACAAACAAACATCATTCTGGGATGTATTAACAGGAGTGTTGTAAGGAAGACACGAGAACGAATTCTTCCACTCTACTCCGTGTTATTTACGTCTCAACTTGGAGTATTGTGTCCAGTTCTGGGCACCACATTTCAGTAAAGATGTGGACAAATTGAAGAAAGTCCAGAGAAGAGCAACAAAAATTATTAAAGGTCTGGAAAACATGACCTATGAGGAAAGATTGAAAATAATTGGGTTTAGTCTGGAGAAGAGAAGACTCTGATAACAGTTTTCAAGCACATAAAAGATTGTTACAAGGAGGGGTGAGAAAAATTGTTCTCCTTAACCTCTGAGGATAGGACAAGACGCAATGGACTTAAATTGCAGCAAGAGCAGTTTAAGTTGGACATTAGAAAAAACTTCCTGTCAGAGTGGTTATTGTCTAACTGGAATAAATTGTCTAAGGAAGTTGTGGAATCTCCATCATTCAAGATCTTTAAGAGCAGGTTAGACAAACACCTGTCAGGGATGGTCTAGATAATACTTAGCCCTGCCTTGAGTGCCTTCCAGTCCTACGATTCTATGATTCTGTGTTTTACTGAAGAAGTACGGTGGTTTGGTTTTGCTTTTTCAGAAGCTGATGGTTGCGGCTGGAGTTAAGGCTGACTGTTTTGTCGGGAGGCAGAGGCATATATGCTGAGTGAAAGAATGTAGAGAAGGCAAAATCATAATTGCAAGGGTTGTGTGAGCACTAAATTTGTGATTTCCTGTCTTTTTTTATTATGGTGTTGCATGCCCTTGAGCAGCTTTAACTGGCTATCAGTGAAGCCTTTTGGGGAGATTTTTCAAAATTTTAAAGAAATTGTAGTTATTCAAATGGATTGCTACCAGTGGTTATATATGTATTCTCTTGCATATATTGTCACTTTCCCCCATACTGTCCAGTTCCCTGTGCAAGTTCCTCTGCACAGTTGTATTCATTCTTCATGTCCTACTGTAGAAACTTGTTTTCAGTCTCGTAGCCTCCTATAAACAGGCTAGGTTGCCCCATACACCTCCAAGTCCTGCCTCCTTCCATGCCCCCACAGAGTTTTCCTCCTCAATATGCTTCCTTCATCCACCCCATCCCTAGTTCCTGTCAAGCCTCTCCCTGCACATTGAGAAAACTGACTTGAGCTATATCAGTGATCCTTACCGAGATTTTTGCGTGTCACGCAATATGGAGAGTGTTCCCATGCTCAGCACTCCAGTTGCTTTGCTTAAGGCTTCATGACAACTGCAAGTGGAGCTCTAAAGAGTCATAGCTTGACTTTTTGCTGCTCTACAGTGATAATCATGGGCAGCTGAAAAGAGATATTGATTCAGAAAGGGAGGTTTCTTCACTTAATTGGAGAACCTGCAGAGTAATGTTTGAAAGACTAATACTGATATTGATCCTTTCAGAAGATTGTGTGTATAAAATGATGTGTGTAATACAAGCTTGTGCTAAGAAAAATAATTAAAAAAAACTAATGCAAAAATTTCAAGAAAACAGTACTTTGATGTATATCATTAAATGATTGGAACACTCTTACTCTGTGAAGTGTTAAATACCAAGGATCTGATCCTGCAGGCACTTCTGCACTTGCTTAATTTTACTGCCGTGTGTAGTCCCATTGACAACGGACTGCTTCATGGTAGTAAGTTAAACAAGTGCTTAAATGATTACAGGATTGGTGTCCAAATTCCTAAAGAATTGGTCTGACTTTATGCATGTTTTTTAAATTAATCTTTTTTTAGCTGTCTGTTAACTATTAATAAGTACCATTATCGTTTAGTGGGAAATAAAATAATTGACTCTGCTTGACGACTCTACCTTCTCAGTATTTTCAAGAGGCAACATTAAGTTTATTTAGTCATCTAAACTAGAATTGAGAATTCATTGTTCAGGAAAAAAAAGGTTGTGGTTTTTTTGTTTGTTTTTTTCCTGTCTCTGTTTTTCTTTTTTAAAAATAAGCATTTTCAGTAAGTCTTGGTGATCAGATAAATGTCATTATTGGGGAAAATATGTAGTAATTTTTGTGTAAGAGTTTTCTATCCCAGGTGTTACTTTACTATTTGCAGTTGACAAGATGGCTGGACATAGAAAGTGTCCAGATCTGAATCACAACATCTGGGGGTTTCAGTTTCTTCAGTTATGATACTCCAAGGAGTATCAGCATCGTGCATGTCCTGCTTGCTGAGTAAAGGATACAGTTAATCATAAAAGAAACAGCAAGTGATAACAGAACTTGCATCAAGCACCTGTCGATAACTCCCAGCTAAAGAGAGGCACTCAGTCCTTGTGGGACAGTGGTACTATAATATCTGTGTTATGACTAGAATAAGGAAATTATTTTGACTTTGTTAAGGGCATATATTAAAAATGTGTTTTGTTCTGTCCTGTTGAGCAATTCAGCCAAAAGAGTTTACAGTATGTGCTGTAAACACATTTTTTAGCTTTATAATTTACAAGTTTTTATTAAATTGCTTAGTATTCATGCTGCAGGGCTTTCAGTATTTGAAGATTCTCTCTCTGAGGCTATTGAAAATATGACAGACTTTTATTTTTATAAAACTTTAATTTTTAAAAAATTGTTCAGAAACGATGGTGGGGTTTGGAGATGTGGGCTAGAGTACAGTAATATTATCTTCTTTGTGGAACTGTTCCTTTTGTTAGCAGTTGCTAAAGGATTGCTCATTTTAGACCATTCACGTTTGATTTCTGATATTCTCAGCTCATTTAGATCTTAATATATGGGTGGACCTTGTGATAATTATAATAATGCTAACTGCCCCTTGGCTTCATACTTATTAAGTACACAAAACTTTGTTGATTCCAGTATCAAGGCTGCACTGTTAAAATGACCAGATGTCCAGAAATATAAATATAAAAATTAAGATTTCTATAATGGTATTAATTTACCCATGTGACACATTCTTGTATATTTAACAATATAAGCAATAATATGCAGTGTTAACCTACACAGTTAGGAGAGAAAAATAGGCATAGAATATACGGTAGTGTCCGTCACAGCTGCGGGAACCCCCGCCTCTTGCATTTCTGTCTGGTCTTTGCTGACTCTTACAACTGTATAAACTTAACATTGCTGTTAACTTTTTTGTCATTTAGCTTAAGTTGGTTTTAATGAATTTTTAAAAAACATTATTGGCTTAGTTCATCCTATGAGACTATGAAGTAGCACATAAAATCCACACTGCACTGAATCAACGGATTGGGAGTGTATTGTGGAACTACTTGAGGGTGGCAGTGCTAAGAGAAATTCATGCAAATGAGGTTCTGGTGGGTATAGGGATATGTGAGGCTTCCTATACCTCCTGCCATTCTTTCTTCCCCCACTCAGAATCTGAAAAGTTCACTGTGACCCTGTTTCTGCCATAACTCCCCCAGAGCTGTCCTGGGAGTCGGAGGAAAGGAGCAGAAGTTGGCTCTGTGGGAATGGGTCAGGTCTCTACTTCAACACAGCCTTGTGACCTGGTAGACTGGCTGTGGGTCTTTCCTCTCCCCACTCCTTCCCAGTTATCTCAGTTAGCCGGAGTTTAGAACTTTGCTCCAGTGGTCTGACTGGCTCTGAGTTGGACCTTCCAGTCTGAATTCCTATGGCTAGCTGTTAGTTGTGCATTGACACCAACTTGATAGTCAGGGAGGAACTGCTCAGGCATACTGATTTAATTCCCAAGAGCATGGAAAGCACGGAGTGGAGTTCTGAATTCTGCCCACTATCAGAGAGGTGAAGAAGGCTTCAGTGGTTATTTCAGAGGGTGGGGGCTGGGGAATGACTTACCTTTGGGACTTTAACAATGCTGCTCAGGGTACAAAGTCAGGCCAAACTATACATCATCTTCTGTGCTCTGTGATCCGGAGGGACGTGATCAGGATTTGGCCCAAGTTTTTTATTTAAAATAATTACTATATATAGGTTCTTACACTGTCACAAAAATAAAATAAAAATCTCATTACATTATTAAATTGAAAATGTATGCTGCTGATCAGATAATTTTTGCAGAACCAACTGTCATCAATTAAACATCAGTGCTAGAAATATAGTACAAAGTATTACTCCATATCCTAGTATAGTTATTGTTCTCTTGTACAACTTTATGCTACAAATATGAAAAGCCAAAAAGGGAGGACTGTGTGGAATCAAGGGAGGCTCCTGGACAACTCTACCAAAAGATCATGGATTAATTTTCAGTTATGTTGAAAACACAATGGAAATGTTTCATTATGCCCTTTTTATAATAGTCTGATCCTCAATTAAAATTATAATCTAAATCCAGAAAAAAATTAAAAGTAACTAAATTTGTAAATACCCAGAGTAGAGTAAGGTTATAAGTAACAGCCATCATGGATTTGTCAAACACAAATCATGCCAAAGCAACCTAATTTCCTTCTTTGACAGAGTTACTTGCCTAGTGAATAGGGAGGAGGCCATAGACATGATATATCTTGATTTTTAATAAGGCTTTTGACACAGTCCCACATGACATTCTCATTAAGGAAACTGTGAAAATATGGTTTAGATGAAATTACTATAAGGTGGGTGCACAACTGGTTGAAAGACTGTACTCGGAGAAGTTATCAATGGTTTGCTGTCAAACTGGGAGGGTCCGGGCATGTATCTAGTGGGGCCTGGCAGGGGTCTGTCCAGGGTCCAGTACTATTCAGTATTTTCATGTATGACTTGGATAATGGAATGGAGAGTGTGCTCATAAAATTGCTTATGACCCCAAGTTGGGGGTGGGGGTTTCTAGCACTTTGGAGGACAGGACTAGAATTCAAAATGACCTTGACAACCTGAAGAATTGGTCTGAATTCAACAAAATGGAATTCAATAGAGGGAAGTGCAAAGAACTCCAATTAGGAAGAAGAAAAAAGTCAAATGCACAACTACAAAATGGGGAATAACTGGCTAGGTGGCAATACTACTGAAAAGCATCTGGGGGTTATAGTGGATCAAAAATTGAACGAGTCAACAATGTGATACAGTTGTGGAAAGGGCTAATATCATTCTGGGATGTATTAATTCTGGGAGTGTTGTGTGTAAAACACAGGAGGTAATTGTCCTGCTCTACTCTCAGAATGCTGAGACCTTCGCTGCAGTACTATGTCCAGTTTTGGGTACCACACTTTAAGAAAGATGTGGAGAAACAGGAGAGAATCCAGAGGAGAGCATAAAAAATGATAAAAGGTTTAGAAAACCTGTGACCTTTAAGGAAAGGTTAAAAAAACCTGGGTATGTTTAGTCTTGAGAAGACTGATGATCTGATAAGTCTTCAAATATGTTAAAGGCTGTTATATAGAGGACAGTGATCAATTGTTCTGTGTCCATCGAAGGTAGGACAAGAAGTAATGGGTTTATAGCAAGGGAGATTTAGGTTAGAAAGTTTTTCCTCATACCCATGATGATAATTAAACTAAACTATCCCCATCATTGGAGATTTTTAAGAACAGGTTAGACAGGCACCTGCCAGGGGGATGGTCTAGGTACACAGGGTCCTGCCTCATCTCAAGGGGCTGGACTAGATGACATCCCGAGGTCCAATCTAGTCCTACATTTCTGTGATTCTAAATCACATCAAAATGTACACAGAACTATTTTTAATTCTGTGTCTTTCTGATTCAGTCTCTTTCAGATGATTCATTTGAAAATTCAAAGAAAAAATCCACCATTCTTGAGACACTGGGACAGCCCAGGAGAAAGGAATTGAAGAAGAAAGATCCTGTGCCATGGTGGATATCCGAGGATGATTCTGATGATGGCGGTAAATAGTGTGCATTTCTGTATAACTTCAGTTCTTTTTGCCACAGTGTGTCAGTCAAGATCTTCCTTTCTTTCATATATATTTTTTGCATCCTGAGGAAAGTTGTTAATGTGAGTGTAGTTCAAAACTGTTTACAATTTTTGTAGCACACTAACAAGTAATGTTTGCAGAATAAAAAATGAAATGAATTCATTAAACTTTTTTTATTCAAATCTTCGTTGGAAAGAAAATTCAAGAGAGTAAGCTATATGTATTATACTGTGTTTACTTTTATGGTTAGCTTGAAGTTAATAAAATATTGAGATACCCTTATATCAGATGAATAAATTCTGAATCACAAAAAGCTAATTTATTAGAAAATGTAGTGTACAAATATTAAAAGGGGTCACAATGTCATTAATAATGCCTAATTTCTTTCTTACTCAATACCTGTAGATCTCCATTTTAAAAAATGGAGAGAGAAAAAAACTTCAATAATTTTGAAACGATAAGAGATCTGTATTCACGATAATTATACTTGCAGCTATTCATATGGTGGGGTGGGGAAAGTGCAGGAAAAAATCCACAACAAAAGCAAAAACATGCTACCATTCTCCCATCCTCAATCAGGTGGAGGTTTTTCAAGGACCTGTAGTGTATTGGTAAAACCTATGGACTTGGTGGGTCTGATGATCTCTCCTGCAGTAACTACCTTGATCGCATCCTCCTACAAGAAAATATATATTGGTTGCAAACCTCCACCTCACCTTCCTGACTCAGTCTGGTTCCCCAGTGACCAGTAACTAACTAACTAACTATGTAGGGAGCCAGCTTTCACAGGGTGATTGCCACTCACTTTTGCACAGTGAATGGTGGCTCTTATTCTCATAATCCATTGCAGCAATATAAGGGTGAGCTCAGCAGAAAGTTCCGGAAGTATCCCCTGGAAGTTATGCAGATGCCGCTGATCATCTCAGGCTTTAAGAATGACTCCATCGCATTGATGGTGGTCATCGTCCAGACCCAACTACTACATATTCACTTAATCCACAAATACAACATGCAGACCTGAACTCAGCAAGTGTCTGGCAGTTGTCTGATGAGTTCTACAAGTTGCTCATCTTGGTCTCAGGCTTTTCTCAGGTTCTACTGGAAAACTCCTATCTCAGATGTTTCCCAATAGCTTTTCAAAAGCTCTGAGAGAGAACTTTCTTGCTGAGCAAGGAGTGCAAACTGAGCATTCCACCTGGCAAATCTTTTTGCAAAAATAGCTTTGAAAGGGTGTTAGCTGATGATTTCTCAAGGGGTTATTAAAGTTTGACCTCTTCTCTTACAATTCCTTTTGGTGTCCTTGAGGTAACCCACAAAGCCTTTTGAAATTTTTCTGAAGCCACTACTGGGAGCTGCATGGGGAACTGTGGGATAGGTACTCGGAGAACAGTGCAACCAAATGATGTTGAACAGCACAAACCAGCAGTTAGTATGGACGTACTGAGCCATTTCTGCTTAAACCAATTCTATCACACTGGTTCAGCTAAGAGCAGTTTGGTTGTCTAGAGTAGATGCAATCTTAAAGCCCAGGTTGCAAGGCAGGCAGGAAAAAAAATCTTTATAAACCGAGCAGATTTGATCTGCAATGCATTGAGATACAATAAATCTGGAGCCCCACCAAACAATTTTAGGGTAATTTTTAAGAGTAGATCTTCGCTTAAAAGCTGGAAAATAGTAGGTAATCTAGACCAATTTTGCAAGTACAGAATCTTCCATGCATCTGTCTCTCTGTGATCCCTCTCTGAGTACAGGACCATGTTTAGAGCAATGGGCACTATAAGACAGCAGAAGTTAAAGGCTGAGGTTGCTCTAGTTTGCACTGGAGACTGAACTGGCCCCATTATCTGTGGGAATCAGGGAGCACAGAGGTGACCTACAGCCACCTTTCTTCCCTACCCATTCTTGGGTCCTTTGTCAAGTGTAGTTCAGCAAGAGCCAAGGATCCAGGCCTATATTCTCATACAGATTCTCCAATACATTGTCATATTATGCAACTGAGCAGTGGCTGAACAATGCTGCAGTACTAAATTGCCGCAAGGGATAAGTTGAACGAGTGACCTACCGGTAGTTTCTTTGTTTTGCAAGTCAGATGTACACTTATTAATGTGCAGCATAAGAAACAAAGTAACGGTTAGCATTGCTAAAAAATAAATGATATTGCTTCAAAGGTAACAAACGTGGGAATAAATTTTGAATTTCACTTGTGAGGTCTAAGCCTAATGTTCCATGAAATTCTGCAGGGCTTTGTGTTCCCTTAGGCCTGATCTTGCAGTTCATTTGCAGACACCACTCTTGTTAAAGGCTATAGGAGGTACCTACATGAGATCTGCAGCATTAAGCTTATAGTGCTTTATGCACTCTGCTAATTGCATTATTTCTTTCAAAAGTGATTGACAAAATACTTTTGTCAATGTGAAGCAAACAAACTCGTATGAAAATCTGTAGGAGTGTTAGTCTTTCTGTCATCTATCATGTGGTGTAAATCTCTAGTCTGATTATCTTTTCCTAGCCCTCTCATCATGGAAAGGCCCTGACATTGAGTTTAGCATCAAATAATAAGCAATTCAATTGGTTTTCTATTTTAATTAATTAAACTAGAAGATACAGTGGTTTCCACTGATTGCTGTTCAGTTGGCTGAAAAGAAAATAATGGAAAAAAACTTGTAGTGTCTGCATATTTTACATTTGATCTCAACTTCCTTTGGCTTTATGCTAAGGTTGAATTGATTTGTGGAATATGTTTCTAGCTGTTGACTTTCATGTTTGGTAGATTAAGAAACTGCCTTTATTCCTATGGGCTGTTCTCCCCCACCCCCCCATCTTGGATGCATTTGATCCTCATTAATTACATAACCCTTCTAGTTCTTTTCACCATATTAGTGATGAATCAAAGAGCATGATAAGAATTCCTGTCTACTCTGTGTCCAGCTTGCATGTCTATTCTTGCTGTCTATCTTGTTTCTCAAGATCCTCAGATAAGATTTGTCAGACTGGAGAAAGAGAAGAAAGTAATGGAAAATAATGCTGAAATAGCTGGAGATAATGAACAGAAGATGCCTCATTGAATTTTCCAATCTGGTACTTGATTACATCAAGTTTTCTAATATTTGTTGACGTCAGTTTGGTGCTACTTTTATATTTCCAATAGAATTTCCTTACCTTATTTTTCCAGTTAATCACAACGTACTCATGAAACCAAGCTGCCTTTTTATATCATTTGCATTGCCAAAAGTAACTAGAGGAACTGTAGACTTTATAATGTTGCAATAGTGTAGTTCGGTAACAATGTCATTTTTCATTAGAATATATTTAATAGTTTGGCCAAATATGGAAAAACCACTGGCATAGAAATCATGGGAAGAACTTGTGTATGTATCAGTGTCTAGCTATATGTAAAATGAATATAATATATTTGCATCAGTTCAGAGATTCTAATCCAGCCGACATTCTTCATATTTTTATGGGCCTACTACTGTCCCCTTTACTCATGTTGTGTATTAAGTTATCCCATGAATAGTGCCATTGCAGTTGCACCAGCATAAAACTACTGTAACAGACGACTGAAGAAGAATCAAGCAGTTTATTTCTAAGGTATAGATTGCATCTTTAGGCACAGACCTATGCATGGTGCAACATAGGGTTTGCCACCCTAAGAGGAGTCCCAAGGACGACTTGTTGCTCTCATAGCTGCAACTAACGATGGATGGGCCATGGCATTTGTGCGTAAATAATAATGGCAGTGAGTAATTGGCAAGTAATAGGCTAAGTCCTTGTCTACACTAAAAAGATGTACTGTTTTGATTATAATGACAATTAAAGTAGTACAGCCCATTAGTGTAGACACAGTTATACTAGCAAAAATGGCTCCTCAGTTCTACAGGAAATCTCCCTTCTATTACATGTCTAGCTTCATAAATGAGTGTGCTGTTCTGTGTTTAATCAACTTCAGACCCGTATGATGAACTGTAAAGCATCTTGGTCTGGGAGATGAAAGCACTAAAAACTGAAGAAATTTCTCAAGCTACAATGGCAAAATTTGGGGGCATGGGAAATGAGGTATTCTTTTTTTTTTTTAATTAAAAAAGAAAATGAAGTTGTAAAGGGATGTCTTGTTTGTTAGTTGATATAATGAAAGGGATACTGTCATCTCTTTTAGCCTGGGAATCAAGGTCTGGTTCAATTTCCAGTGTTGCCACTGATTCACTTGTTGACCAGAACCAAGGCCCAACAGAAAGTCTCTCATTGTCTTCACTAGGCTTTAAATAAATTCCTATTAGATTTTAGGTGAGTTGTAGGTGTGCAACTCTTATAATCAAGATACTGAAATATCAAGGCTATTACTACTTTTTATCACTGCTTTTTCACTGTTATGTTGCTTCAACAGATCCAGATGCTTTCTTTGAAAACTGGTATTACAAAACTTGCTTTATTGTTGGCATAGCTACATTAGTATTTGTTATCTTCAGACAGATAGTCTGACATACCCTTCCATTCATGCTAGAATAAAACTTTTGTATGAGATGAGATACCTTGTAAGTAACAGCTGAATCCATTAAAAAGAGAAAATAGTATATATAAATCTCCACAAGCAACAATTACTATGGCTGCTGTACTGTAACTTTATAGTTTTGGTAGCAGCTATAAAATTGATATAGTTCAACCTGCAAGAAATAATCAGGTGTTGTTTTTTTTCCAGTGTTGTAACTTAAATTCTCCTGATTTATTTTTCTCTTTACTCCCTGTTACATTATACCTAAATATTCATGAATGTTGTGTGTGAGCTTAGTCGTTTCTGCAAAACCTTTTTCCAGTGCATCTTGCAACAAGACATTGGCTAAATACGGTATACTGGAAACATTTCATAAGGCCAAGAAAGATGCATATTTAAATGAAGAAAGAAATGCCGCTTCTGACATTCCAGACAGTTGTGATGGTAACATACTTACTCTATTTCCTATCCTGTAGGTGACTTTAAAAAAAAAATTGTTAATTGAAAATTTCTTGTCCAGTTATAAAATAAAATTAAATAAAATAATGCAACCTTTTTGGATATGGCCTAATGCCAAAAACAGCTGAAATTTAAAAGCTGTAATTCAGCATGAAAATAGCCCTTGTTGAGAAGTAGTTCATTGCATTGTTCCAAAGGAAATTGATTTTGATTTGGCCATGTTATGAGGCTCTGAAAATTACATACAGAGCATGTGAAATCCTCTTTTCTTATTGGTTGTTTAAGTTTATTAAACTCCTGTCCTGCATTGAGAATCAAGTAGGCAGGTCCCCATTTCAATGGGAGTTCTCTGTGGCTCTCAATACAGAGCTGCTGTATTGTTAAGCATTCACAAAGCTTATGTCAACCCCCCCAAATCATGAGATTTTAAAAAATCATAAATTATGGGGTCTTCTATTTTTCTCACGATTTTAAACCTTTAGGGTTCATGTATTCAGTTTTTTCTCTGCAACCATGATGGATAGAAACATTATTTTTAAATGAAATCTTGTAGTTTTGTGTAATTACGTGATTCCAGGTGCTGGGGGTTTAAGAAAAACACCAAATACTGTGAGATTTGCAGAAAATTTGCATGAGTTGGCATTGGCAAGATCAGGGCCTAAGTGATCACCTAGAACGGAACTGCACTTGCTTGAATAGCTCAGTTCAACAACAAACAAATAACAAGTTCCTTAGGTCCTGGTCACCGCATTTCAAGAAAGATGTGGAGAAATTGGAAAGGGTCCAGAGAAGAGCAACAAGAATGATTAAAGGTCTTGAGAACATGACCTATGAAGGAAGGCTGAAAGAATTGGGTTTGTTTAGTTTGGAAAAGAGAAGACTGAGAGGGGACATTTAAAAGGGTGTCATAAGGAGGAGGGAGAAAACTTGTTCACCTTAGCCTCTAAGGATAGAACCAGAAGCAATGGGTTAAACTGCAGCAAGGGAGGTCTAGGTTGGACATTAGGAAAAAGTTCCTAACTGTCAGGGTGGTTAAACACTGGAATAAATTGCCTAGAGATGTTGGGGAGTCTCCCTCTCTGGACACATTCAAGAGAAG